GGTCTTGCACCCAAACACTGCAGCGTTTTTTTTTTACTCTTCTTAGTAAATAAATCTTGTAACAGAGTTACAGAAAGGGTTTTTCGGTGGTGGAAATCCATTGCTGAAATTTCCTTGCTGTAACGGAGAGCGCAGCTGATGGTTGCTTAGCAACGACAGACGCCTCCGGAGTGCAACCTCACGCCTAGCGTTTTCTACGCGTTTTTTGGAGCACCTTAAAGGCCGGTCTGTGAAAATATTGTCTGATATTAAACCGGTCCGTGGCGCAAAAAAGGTTGGGGACCGCTGAGCGGACCGAATGTACTCAAGATTTCGATGATCTGTCCAGACTATGAACAGATGCGACGCCCCCTCCAGCCAATGTCGCCACTCTCCCAACGCCAACCGAATGGCCAACAGCTCACGGTTACCCACGTCGTAATTGCGTTCAGTGGGCGAGAGACGATGCGAAAAGAACGCGCACGGGTGAAGCTTATTGTCCATGGGCGAGCGCTGCGAAAGCACCGCGCCTTCCCCCACGTCAGAAGCGTCGACCTCGACGATGAATTGTCTTTCGACCTCCGGTTTAATAAGGATGGGGGCGGTGGTAAATAAGGTCTTCAAGCGGTCAAACGCAGCCTGGGTCGCCTCGGTCCAAGCAAAACGGGACTTGACCGAGGTAAGCGCAGTAAGAGGAGCGGCTACCTGACTAAAGTTCCGAATAAACCGTCTGTAAAAATTAGCGAAGCCTAAGAAGCGTTGAAGAGTGATGCGGCAATCGGGCACAGGCCAATCAGTGACGGCTTGGACTTTAGAAGAATCCATACTTATTCCATCGGCGGAAACGACAGATCCCAGAAAAGTAACGGACTGAGAATGAAAAGTGCATTTCTCAGCCTTCACAAAGAGGCGGTTCTCTAAGAGACGCTGCAGGACACGACGAACGTGCATGACGTGCACCTGGAGAGAGGGCGAGAAGATAAGTATGTCGTCGAGGTAAACAAACACGAAGACGTTAAGCATATCTCTCAGAACATCATTAATCAGAGCCTGAAAAAACGGCTGGGGCGTTGACCAGCCCGAACGGAAGGACCCGATATTCAAAGTGCCCGAGGGGCGTGTTAAATGCGGTCTTCCATTCATCTCCCTCTTTAATACGTACCAAATGGTACGCATTACGCAGATCTAGTTTTGTGAAAACCTTCGCCCCTTGCAAAATCTCGAAGGCAGAAGACATGAGAGGCAAGGGATACCGGTTCTTAACTATGATGTCATTCAACCCTCGATAATCAATGCAGGGGCGTAAGGACCGGTCCTTCTTTTTCACAAAAAAATCCAGCGCCAGCAGGAGGGTTGAAGGTTTCCTGATATGGTGAGACTTACCGGCTGAGTGATGCGACGAACCTTAGAAATGACGCTACCGTCCAGAGCGAGCACAGAGATAGAGTCTTTAAGATCAGAAAAAGGAATACCATGTCTTTGGGCCCACCTCTCGTCGATAAAACTAGCCTCAGCACCAGAGTCTACAAGGGCCGAACAAGATGCCGAAAAGGATGACCAGTGGAGAGTGACCGGAAAGGTGGTGCGTTTCCCGGCCTTGGATGTGGGGAAGAAAGTAGTTGCGCTCGCCAGTACACCCCTGATTACTGACGAGCTCTGGCTTTTACCGAGCAGGAAGACACAAAGTGATTACTTGAACCACAATAAAGGCAAAGACGATTAACAATCCGTCGTTGACGTTCAGTTGTCGAAATGCGGATTCCCCCCAGCTGCATAGGCTCAGCATCTGACTCACCGCGAGTAGCAACGGAAAGAGTAGGCGGGGTTACAGGTCGTTCAGACCTCGAACTCCGAGCGCGGCGGCGCATCTCGAAGCGCTTGTCTAGGCGAATAGCCAACTCAACCAGCAGATCAAACTGGCCTGGAATCTCACGGGCATAAATCTCGTCCTTAAGGCTGGGGTTAAGTCCTTCTAGAAAATGAGCAACAAGAGCTGGTTCATTCCAGCCAGATGGCTCTCTTTAAAACAGGAATCTGGTCACTGTCATTCTCACATCTGTGGGGGGAGAAAACAAAAGTGAGCATGTTGACAGCAGGATCACAACACCATTATCATACTGATATTTTGCCCATTCTCATTAAAAAAGGTATTTACACATTCATCCATGCACATATACTTTGCTTAGATTAATTTTAATTACGTAAATTCATTTTAATGACCAAACAGTGGTTATTAACAAAGCAAACCTGTACGCACTGAATGACTGCGATACGAATGATGTAATCTGTGAATGATAAGTTACAGATTCCTGTAGTAGAGAGTGTTATGATGTGAGTGAAGTGATGCTTCTGTGTATTATAATTCTGTACATATTTTTTAAATTTTGTAAGTATATCATCAACCTGTCCAGGGACTGCAGGCGGAAATTAGCATTTTTGCTATAACCTGGCACATGACATCTCTTCTTTCTTAGATTAATGGTTTTTGTGCCTTGTCCCTGATCAAAAAAAAAAAAAAAAAAAAAACCTTTACTGTGGAATAATATATGTCACTTGTAAAATGACGGGGTAAACGTGCACTTACTCATTAAGATTTTCAACCACGTTGAAAACACTCTTTGTTTGTAATTTGATGCAACGGTAATATAATAGCTATAGTATATATTTTTAAAATGTTTAAATATGAGGGAAGATCAAAAGACTTAACTTGGTGAAGGCATTTTATCTGACAAAATTATTTCAACTCAAGTCACCTTTAGGCTATACAGTGCTTTTTACAATATAGATTGTTTCAAAGCAGATTTACAGTGATAACAGGAAAATAATGCAACAAAGTTTGTTTCGGCTGTACAGCAGATCTAGAAGAAAGTAGCGTCATTGTCCAGCTTAGGTAAGTTCAGTGTTGATTCATTTCCATTGTAAAAATCATTAGTTATTATCTATTAGTTAATTTATGCCACTCCGGAGAAAACAATGATGTCATCATTCAGCTCAGTTCAGTTGTCATATTGTGGTGTCAATGCAGGCAGAACAATGATATTGTTGAATTTTAAGTGACAAAAAGGCAAACTACAGCTAGAGGTTTTAGAAAAAAAAAAAAAGAAAAAAAAAGCTCACATGAGAAAAACATCCTACATTGACTGCAACAGTCAGTTATTAATATTTCATTGACCTCTATTGTTTTTTCATGTGTTCATAAATTCTTTGTATGACAGCCTGGCTAAAAAAGATGTCTGTTCAATTTGACAGGTTCCATTGTGTTATCACAAATAAACAACGGACTCCAAGCACAACTACACAATATGCTTACAAAATCTTTAACACATTTTAATACTATTTAAACAAAGGGTGAATATGTCTTTGCCGGACATCACTTTTGGCCACTGTATGGCAGTTCATTGACTTTCCAACTGATCTTTAAATCTTGCAGTAAAATCAAGCCACTTTTATGGGGATTGCAAGCTTCCCTGAGTTGTTGGACCCATTGATGGAACACATGTTTGCATCATCACTCCAACTGTAAATGAGGAAACAGAGAAAAGGATTCCACAGCATCAAGACATTTGTGATAAATTTGCACAATGCAAAGCAATTTTTTAAAACAAATTTATTTATTAAAGTTTCAGTGTCTTAATTAAATGAATTTATTATAATTACATGAAATTATTGGTGTCATTCTGCAGTGACCTCAACCTTGCAGGCTCACTATTTGCTGATTCAGTGAGGGTGGCCATTTTGGGTTGACATCATTGTAGTCCTTAGTTGGCAACACCTAAGTCCCCACTTCAGACAGCACTTACAAATCAGTCTAAGACTTTACTGAAAGTTGCTTTTAGCTTCTTTATAAAGGTGTCCTACTCTTAGAGAAGTCCTACTTTTTACTTAGAATTTTTTGACACTTAAGTCAAAGCTTAAGACTATTCTTGAGCATTTCTGAGAAGTTTTATAAATACGGCACTCGTGTGTTTGTTTAGGGTTAGAGCTGAATAGGCTATAGTCTGACCAAAGCCCCAACATCTGTGCAAATATATCAAACATAGTGTGAATAATACGACTGTTTTACAAGCATTTGGTTAAATCAAAATTACAACGTGTGACGTGCTTTATTATGAATATTTATTCATTTAGCAGACACTTTTATCCAAAGACACTTATGAGGAATACAATCTTAAGGAGGCAATGACATAAGACATGCAAGAAGCACTACAAAGTTTCAAACAATGTCCAGAAAAGTAGGCTACAATCTATATAACAAGGAGGGAAATAATTGAGAAAAAGTTTGCTATGCCTTGCTGTAAATAAACAAGTCGTTCAGATGAGCTTTTACAGTTACACAATCCGCATGCCGAAAACTGAGATATTATATGAATGACGAATAAGGGGAAACAAATGTGACGATTTACATTTTATTTACGTGATATGTAGCCTACATCAGCTTATGGAAACGTGTTTAACAAGTTAAAACATTAACACTTGTGTGATCCGGCGTAGGCTATATATTTATTATTGTGATTAATGTTATGACTATTATATCGACAGAACATCTGGCCAAACATGAGAGTCACATGAGACTCGGAGTCTCCAGATGATCGTGTGCTTCAAGCTGCCCAAAACAACATCTGTATGAAAGCCTCCTGACGCCCCTCACTGTTGCCGATTTCATGAAAGTCTCTTCAGACTGTTTGCTGAACATAAACAAGACGCGTTCAGGCTTTCATCAACTTTTCCAGTTAAACTATTCATCAAATTTACACGCGGCTTTCCCCCGTGGCTGATGCTCGCCTTGGATTTGATCTGATGAAGGCAAAATAAACATTTCCTATTTGCGTAAATTAGTCTCCAATGAAAGCTCAGAACCTCTCCTTGGTGTTTACTTTGTTTTGACTGTGCTAAACTATTTTACCGTTCCAGTTTTGCCTCAGATGTAAGAGAAGAAAACACACTCGTTAGGGATTCGTGGACGCGCACAGACGCCGAGCGGGCAGGTTGAGTCTATAAGGCTCTCATGTGTTATTTAAGAGCGCAGCGCCGCGCGAGCGCTAGTCATTGCTGAAACCAGAGACAGCTTTAGAAATACTGCAGATCCGATCAGAGAGAAATGGCAGAAATCGCACCCGCCCCCGCTGCTGCCGCCCCGGCAAAAGCGCCCAAGAAGAAGTCCGCTGCGAAAGCCAAGAAAGCAGGTCCAGGCGTCGGCGAGCTCATCGTCAAAGCTGTGTCCGCATCCAAGGAGAGGAGCGGCGTGTCCCTCGCCGCGCTGAAGAAAGTGCTCGCTGCCGGCGGCTACGACGTGGAGAAGAACAACTCCCGCGTCAAGATCGCCATCAAGAGCCTGGTGACCAAAGGCGCCCTGGTACAGGTCAAAGGGACCGGCGCCTCGGGCTCATTCAAGCTCAACAAGCAGCAAGCCGAGACCAAGAAGAAATCGGCTCCTAAAGCGAAGAAGCCCGCGGTCAAGAAACCCGCTGCTGCCAAGAAGCCCAAGAGCTCTGCGGCAAAGAAGCCCGCCGCCAAGAAATCGCCCAAGAAAGCCGCCGCTAAGAAATCGCCCAAGAAGGCCAAGAAACCCGCCGCCACGGCCGCTAAGAAGGCCACGAAGAGCCCCAAGAAGGCAAAGAAACCAGCAGCCGTTAAGAAAGCAGCCAAGAGTCCCAAAAAGGCAAAGACTGCTAAACCTAAGGTGGCAAAACCTAAAGCCGCCAAGCCTAAAAAGGCAGCGCCCAAAAAGAAGTAAAGTTCACTGTTTGTTCCTCAACGGCTCTTTTAAGAGCCACCCACTAACTCTGAATAAGAGCAAAACTCGTTAATTAATGATTTCCGAAAGCGGATAATAGAGATGTGACTTTTAACCTCAAGACTCATTCATTGTAAACAAACAATTCAAAACACCCAGTTTTGAAAAAAAAAAAAAAAAACGTTCAGTAAACCATTATTTATATATAAGAAACGTATTGTAAATGGCCAAAAAAAATAAAAAGAGGGTTCAGACAGTGATCAGAAATGGCATGTTGTACACCACGGTACAGACAGGATATACACACAACACTATGCTGGGGAATTGTGATAATACAATACAAACAACCCCACATCCAACAATATGGACAGTGATAAAACTCCAATATTGAAATAGGAGCATAATACTGTACAGTATCAGATGGTCAATGTGCACAGAATATACATTGTGTGTATGTTCTGTGTCTGTGTGAAAGGTGCAGCGCTTTTGGTAGGAACAGCGTACAATATCCATTTTTGTATTTTTATATAACAAACATTTCAATGGTTTCACCTCTTCCACTTCTTATTATTCACACTCACAAATACTAGTGCATGCATGTGCAAATAGTGCACAATAATTCCCGCTAGAATGGGGAGAGAAGTTCAGTGATTGGTTTAAATCTTTCCAGACTCTAAACCAATCGGCGACTGGCACTCTGGTTTAAAGCCGGAGGCACACGCACACAGACTTCATTCAATCACTTATATTTTGACAGTGAAGTTTGAAGTAAATATTTTAAAAATAATGAGTGGAAGAGGCAAAACCGGTGGTAAGGCCAGAGCGAAGGCTAAGACTCGCTCCTCCAGGGCGGGCCTACAGTTCCCCGTCGGCCGTGTTCACAGGCTTCTGCGCAAAGGAAACTATGGCGAGCGCGTCGGTGCCGGAGCTCCTGTTTATCTGGCGGCGGTGCTCGAGTATCTGACCGCTGAGATCCTGGAGCTGGCTGGAAACGCCGCTCGGGACAACAAGAAGACCCGCATCATCCCCCGTCACCTGCAGCTGGCGGTGCGTAACGACGAGGAGCTCAACAAACTTCTGGGCCGAGTGACAATCGCTCAGGGCGGCGTGCTGCCCAACATCCAGGCCGTGCTGCTGCCCAAGAAGACCGAGAAACCCTCCAAATCTAAATAATCTCGAGTTTGTTTTGTTTAAACCAAAAGGCTCTTTTAAGAGCCACCCATTTTATCTGATAGAGAGTGATTTTCTTTGTTAATATTTATAAACACCATAAAGGCGTTTGGTTGAAGGAGAAAATGACCCATCAAACCAATAAAATATGATTGCTCTGCATTATCGACGGTTACAGTCGTAGGTGTGCGTGTTTGTTATAAGCACATGATGGTCCCCTAATGTGTGTTTGTCACCCAACCCATTTCCCTTAATATTAAAATATAGTTGGTCTACCAAGCTCTGATAATGTATTGAATATTTTAATAAATTATCCAAAATAAAAAGCAATATACACATCTCGGCTTCATGGTAACAGAAATTGGTCAATGTTACTCGGGGTCTTTGATCCCCTTTTTTACGGGACGGATGGACACCCTAGTGTGTCTCGCTGCAGTGCTTTTATACAGACTGTAATGTGATTTTGTTCTAATCCGAAATCTGCACAACCACTGTGAATTAAGGCGAGTATTTCAGAACAAATAAATACAACATTGTGAGTATAAAGACCAGGGAGGTGTCATATACACTGTGTGGTGTATATGAAGTATTCAACAGAACAAAGCAGCTCGAGCGGGAAACCTTCCACTTGTTTGAAAAAGAGGAAACGCGCAGTCATTGGCTGGCACTCATGCGCAGACGTCACGTATTAGCCAATCACAAGGTCTGGATCCTCGCGACACTATGAGCTCGTGGCGGTACAATGCTTTAAAAGCGGGTGTATGAAGATAAAGCAGCATTTCCAGCACTAGCAGGACAAAGAGAAGAAGCCCGCAGCAATGGCAAGAACCAAGCAGACAGCTCGTAAATCAACCGGTGGTAAAGCCCCGAGGAAGCAGCTCGCTACTAAAGCCGCCCGTAAGAGCGCTCCGGCCACCGGCGGCGTCAAGAAGCCTCACCGCTACCGGCCCGGGACCGTGGCTCTGCGGGAGATCCGCCGCTATCAGAAGTCCACCGAGCTGCTGATCCGCAAACTGCCCTTCCAGCGGCTGGTGAGAGAAATCGCTCAGGACTTCAAGACGGACTTGCGCTTCCAAAGCTCCGCTGTTATGGCCCTGCAGGAGTCCAGCGAGGCTTATTTGGTCGGTCTGTTCGAGGACACCAACTTGTGCGCCATCCACGCCAAGAGGGTCACCATTATGCCCAAAGATATTCAGCTGGCCCGCCGCATCCGCGGAGAGCGCGCTTAAACCCGCGTCTGCGTCAACACACAACGGCTCTTTTAAGAGCCACCAAAACTGCACTGAACGAGATCATTTCCAGTTTATCTCAATATGAGTATAAAGTTACGTTCATGCATTACATTAACACTCTGGGCCACCGTTCTCTAAATTATCAGTTACCATTACTATCAGAATTAAATATAATCATAACCCTAAAATACTTGGACTTAAGGAAATATGAATTTTTTGTATGTAATAAAAGCGATTATTTCTTTTAATGTCTAGAGAATTATGTTTTTTTTATTTTTTTTTACTTAAATGCTGTGCTATCAGTTTATCATCTTAAAACAGTCTTCCCAAACAAGACTGCAGTGGTTGTTTTTTTCCAACTTTTTGTTTTTATTCCAGCTACTCCCTAATAGTGGCATACAGGTGCAAGTTCAGCTAAAGGTAACTTAGACATACAGTTTAAACCACTGAGGCCTGAAATCATTTATATTCTGCAAATATATCCGAATTGTCTAATAAAAAAAATACTATACCGTCCTTCTAGACTAGCACATTTCATCACCATTAGCTCTGCATATTATATGAGGATATTATAACATCCTCTTCATCAAATGAAATAAATCTTATAAAACATGAAAGAAGTCGGACCGGCCTCGTTAGATTATGGTTTGGGTTACATCACATTTGGTTTGTGCTGGAACTATATTGAGGGGAGGGGCGTTTTGTGTCTTGTGACGCGGCGCTGGTTTCTATCAGGTCCTGTAAGTAAATATAAAATGCCTCCTTGCAGCGCTGAGCTGTACATTTGTAATCATCGTTTGACTGCTGTCTGTGAAACATGTCTGGAAGAGGCAAAGGCGGTAAAGGACTCGGGAAAGGAGGCGCTAAGCGTCACCGCAAAGTTTTGCGCGATAACATCCAGGGTATCACCAAACCCGCTATCCGTCGTCTGGCTCGCCGCGGCGGGGTCAAGCGCATCTCCGGGCTGATCTACGAGGAGACCCGCGGAGTGTTGAAGGTGTTTCTGGAGAACGTGATCCGCGATGCCGTCACCTACACCGAGCACGCCAAGAGAAAGACCGTCACCGCCATGGATGTTGTCTACGCGCTGAAGAGACAGGGACGCACCCTGTACGGCTTCGGGGGATAAACGCCTAAAATCAGAAGAAACTACTCAAACCCAACGGCTCTTTTAAGAGCCACACACTCTGACACATAAAGAGTCTTGCCACATCAGTGTTAAAGATTAATGCCGGTCTTGTAAGTTAACTATACAATTCTGAATAATTCACGGAAGAATGATAATTCTGCAAGAATAGTTTTGACTTTTCTCTAATGAATATAAGGTGCCTATTTTAACGCCGTATAATTGCATTAAATCACACAAAAATTGGAATTCGGTTAACTTTTCTTTCTGAAGAACATTTCCTGGAGATCCACCACCTATTGGAATTTAAAATGATTTACAGAAACAAGAATACAAAAGATATGGTGAAAATAAAAGTGAAATGTCAGCGGTAAAGTTGCTTTGAAAGACTTTCTGGTATGAAAGCTATTTTTAAAGGGATCTTATCGTTGCTATTATTATGCTATGCTATCTTTGGTAGGATTAAAGTTGGTATTAAATGCTAAAAAAACTAAATTAATGGTCTTTACACGTTCACATTCTCCTATGGATTTCACTATTTTAACACAAAGTGGTACTCCAATAGAGAGAGTGACTTCTTACAAATACCTAGGTATTTGGATTGATGATAAATTGTCTTTTGGGGTCCATATTGAGAGCCTTTTAAGAAAACTCAGACCTAAGTTAGGTTTTTATTTTAGATTAAAGAGGTGCTTTCCTTATTCAGCAAGGAAAAGGTTGGTGCAGAGTTCATTCTTAACAGTTTTGGATTATGGTGATTTAATGTATATGCACTCTACCTCATTTTTATTAAAAAAACTAGATGTATTATATCACTCTGCCTTACGTTTCATTACAGATGCAACAGCTAGGACTCACCATTGCACTCTGTATGAAACTGTACAATGGCCCTCCCTCTCTCTCAGAAGAAAATTTCATCTATTGATTTTTATTGGCAAAGCACTAATGGGTAAATTACCAATTTACATTTCAAATTTACTTACTTACCAAAACAATATTTACAGAACAAGGTCGTCAAAAAAAATATTATTAATTATTCCATCAACAAAAACAGAATTTGGTAAAAAAGCTTTTTCATCATATGCACCAAATGTCTGGAATGAACCAGAGACTATTTATATATGAACTCCAAAACACCTTAAATTTAGAATCACTTCCATCTATTCAGATTTTTAAAAACCTTTTAAAGTCAACTTTGACTGAACGGTGTAATTGTTTTTAACTAGGTACCCTTTAAATTATGTTTGTATTTACTTAAGTTAAACAAAATGTCTACAAGTATAGTCTATGTATAGAGATTTGTTGTGTAGTATGTAATTTTTTGTCCTGTTTTTTATTTATTTTTTATTTTATGTTTTTTCTTTGCAACTTTTTGGCCGCCTATTTTGGCCAGGACTCCCTGGAAGAAGAGTTACTGTAACTCAATGGGACTATTCCTGGTAAAAAAAAAAAAAAAAATTACTTCCCTTCAAAAAGGAGTTTTCAGATTACACGATCATGCATAATATTTTTGTCTTTTTCATCAAAATTGTATTTAAACGAAAATAAATAGCGGGAAATGAACAAAGGAACTGTGTCCTGTGGGGTGTCACTCAAACATTTGGCGGTAGGAGGGTCTATCTTTAAGCCGCTCGTGATTGGCACTTGTTCCTCTCGTGATTCTTTGAGTTATCCAATGAAATACGATTTTATGGGTTTGGCCTATGAAAACAGGCAATCAGCGAACCTCGAATCTCTTTGAAAATTTGCATAAGGAAGGAATAAATGCCTCCGTTTCGCACTGTCGTTTACATTGATTCGTCATTTTTCTGATCACGCATCATCATGCCTGAACCAGCAAAGTCCGCTCCTAAGAAGGGATCCAAGAAGGCCGTCACCAAGACCGCCGGTAAGGGAGGAAAGAAGCGCAGAAAGTCCAGGAAGGAGAGCTACGCCATCTATGTCTACAAAGTGCTGAAGCAGGTTCATCCTGACACCGGCATCTCCTCCAAGGCGATGGGCATCATGAACTCCTTCGTCAACGACATCTTCGAGCGCATCGCCGGTGAGTCGTCTCGCCTCGCGCACTACAACAAGCGCTCCACCATCACTTCCAGAGAGATCCAGACCGCCGTGCGTCTGCTGCTGCCCGGAGAGCTGGCCAAACACGCCGTGTCTGAGGGCACAAAGGCCGTCACCAAATATACCAGCTCGAAGTAAAGCGGGATCTGAGATTTCAGCTACTACAAAGGCTCTTTTAAGAGCCACCCACTTTCTCAATTGAAAGAGCTCCTGTTGTCTGTTTAAATGGTGAAAAACTGCATCTTCTGATAATTGATCTCCACCTCTTTATCTCAGATGTGTTAATTATTAGTATTATTTTTTTCTTTAACTTTTAAGAATTTTATGGTTTCAACAGCTAAGAGGTGATTAGTACTTTCATCTCACTCCTTCACTCACCTGAATAACTCTTGGAGCCACGAGTCAGCGACCTAAAGTCTTTGTAACACCCATTTTCTCTTTAAAGTTAACGTTAGTTTAGGCACATTTTTTCATAAACACTTTTTGTTATAGTGGTTGAAACATCGTGATACCAATCAATAATAGAAGTGGTCTAAACATAAATAAATGTCCATACATATAACAAATATAAAATAAAATCCATACCTGAATTATTAAAAAGCGCTTCAGATGTTTTAGAATCTGTTGCAAATACCACCTTCAAAACTAGAAAATCCATCAATTTACAAGTTTTTTTTAGCACTTACCATATTTAAACTAATTTGATGATGCTTTTTTAACCCCTTAACTGGCACCGTGTACTGACATTTAGCTTTTACCCAAAGCGACTTAACCTCTGGTTGTGTTAATGTAAGCACAGTGGACTAAAACTTACTGCGTGTGTGTGGTAATGATAGAATGATGTTTGATGCACTTCAGAATAGGACGAAATTAATCTCTGTAAAAAGAGGCCAAAAAGCACTCGCAGTCAGATCCAAAGAAAAATACAAAACCTGTGCTGAATGAAAGAAAACGAGCTGACAAATGTTTGCTAATGAGATATTGAGTGGTTTACCAGCAATTTTATGTAGGCAGGTCATTTTTGACCCAGAACACCACAATTGTGACTTTGTGCCATTTTGTACAAAACTATTTCCACACAAACTTCCTGGTTAAACATTAAAGCACACTAGTGTAATAAATTGTATGGAATATGTTATAATTGTATACATTTTGCCAAAATTATAGTTTTAAATGTTTTTTTTTTTTTCAGGCAAAAATTGAGGTGCATAAATTCTATTCGATGAGGCCTGCGGGTGGTCAGTACAAAACCTACAAAACCTGTGCTAAATGAAAGAAAACGAGCTGACAAAAAGACTGAATCCAATATTTAGAGATAACATGAGCTGTGTCCCAATTCAGGGGCTGCAGCTGCACCCTTCGGAAGGCCATATTCGAAGGCCGGTTGCCTCGTGGCGGTGTGACGATTCAAAAGCAACTCCAAATGCGGGGAAACGAAGGATACATCAGAAGGATCCTTAGCGGCCTACCCTACCCCATAATTCACTGCGCGCCGGTGACGACAGTATTTAATTTTTTTTTTAATAAATCTGTGGCGGCCGACAAATTCACATTTAAATGTAAGTATTGTGTTTTAATTTACTCAAATAGCTAGTGAAACAAGAGTGAAAAGCCACAGGTTTTTCTTTCTTATAAACTTCAACTTAACTCCTTCGTTACCATTGCGTGGCTTCATTTATCAGGTGGTTTGAGGCTAAACTTGTGCTAATATTATTTTAATAAATGTTTCAGGAATAAATTGAACTGTCTGCTCCTTGCTCCAAGCGTGGCTTGGAGGTAAGACACTTGTGTATTACAAGAAATATCCCTCACCCTATAAAGCCCACAATAATAAGAAAAGCAGTATAAGGCAATACTGTTTCACTTTTAGATCTGCTA